ATAAAGGTTATACTGAGAATCTGTAGGTGACAAAAGAACTGGTAATGATCTAACTTCACAGTCTCCAGGTGCATTAGGATCTCTCTTCTGTAGTTCCAGAGGGTTGCAAAGTCAGGATTGGATGATAGTAGCTGCTGGGTCAGCTGGAGAGCCTCATCATCCCAAATACCCTCCTTCCTCTGTCAGTCAGGGAAATACACAGAGCAACAGACAGACACAAGAAAGGGACATCCGAAAAATGAGCATAAGAACAAAATAAAACAGAAATAGATAGATAAATAGGCACAGCTTATTCAGTGTAACTTTCCAATAAGCACTACGCATGACATTTAGTCTGCTATATAAAGGATATAGCTGCTGTTATTCTTAAGTCAGTCTATACAGACTTAAACTTAAACCCAAGCCCATTTGGTCCTACTGAAGATACAATTCTTTAAAAACAGATTAAAATGTATATAGTTTCAATTTTAAAAAAGGCTTGGTGATAAAACATCTGGACATTATACTTCCAAGCAAATATTGTAGGTGAGATGGTAATACGTGGACTATATAGACTAAAACCAGCCTTAACATGTACAATGAGGTGTTTATTTCTAAAGAACCTTAGAAAAGCAGGCATCTCGTGCAGCCACGTATATCTTAAGTTTCTTCTCGCGCTCCTTTCTTTTCTCCTCTTCCTGCTGGGCTGTGGATTTAATCTTCACTCGGCCATGCTGTCAAAAACAGGACAGTGAGTGCAGTTCACTCTGCTGCTAAAAGGTTATTATCAATAATTGATTACTCCACACACACAACACGAACAGCTGATCAAAGCAGTGAATAAGCCTACATTTCAAAAGGAAACGAGTAAATGATAAATCTCTTACCATCTTTTCTGTCTGTGATGGAGACTCCCCCAAACAAATCTGTTTATAATGTGAAATGAGGGTGATATTTAGGGTTAGGCCTGAACAACGACACGTTTACAGAGAGCTGACAGACAGGCACAAAGGTAATGACACGTCAATATTTGAATATTAGCCGCTAGCTGATACTGTCTGTGTGTATATTCAGCCCTCGGTAAGGTTAAAACACTGAACACAAACAGCCTGAAGTCTCAAGTCAGCTCGCTAATTAGCTCCGTTGTCACTAAACAACACTGGGCTCATTCAAACCAGCAACCTGCGACAGAGAAGACACTTTCATTACGGATTGACCCTGAACGCCGCATTGCTTATCCCATAAAACACCCACCTGTTTTTGTTGTTGGCTTGTTTCGTGTTTTTCAGAATACAGGTTGATTTGTCATGTCACCATCAGGATCTCTAACGACTACAATTTTTCACTTCCGTCTCGTGAAAATGACGTCGGCAGAGTGTATTTTCCTGACCGCGGTGTTTTGCGGCCTCCTAGTGGAGAAAACAGCGAACAGCAGCGCATTGTGCGGTATTTCATTGTGAGTTTAGACTCTTTGTTTCATTATTAAGTTATATTTATTCGTATTATCTTATTGTGTGAACTATCCATGTAACCGTAGTGTTATAGAAGTTTAACACCTTCCACACATGCAGTCTATCCTTGAAATTAAACATTTTTTGTGTGAACTAGGATAAGCATCAATATTCAGACCTAACAAAATGCCTTTTTGGCTGTGTTGTGTTGTGTAAATGAAAGCAATATTACTGCAGGGACCCACAGGGACTCCACTAAGGGGAGGCCAGCAACCCCACCCCTGTGGCTCCCCACTCAGATGCATAGTATTGTTCTGTGTAATGAGTACTGTATGCATAATATGCTTCTATCTAATATTGTACACTAGGTCCTATTCATTTAAGTCAATAATGTATATTTTTTACAATAGATTATGTGAAATAAAATAACAATTGCATTGCAGCCAGCCACTTTTCACTGTCAGTCACACTCTCTGTGAGAGTGAGGCATAATGAGGCAAAAGACTCATGTGCTGGATGGTCCCTTGCCCCGGCATTGCCATGTGAGAACAGACTGAAATGTTCCTGAATGAAGCAGCATGTGTGAATAGTGAAAATCACTAGTGCCTGAAAGGTAATTACAGTAATCTATTGGGAACAATGTGCGTAAAAGGCTTATGTGACAGCTGCTGAGTGAAAATAATACCTATGGGTCCTTCAGGTAAATGCCACAACAATTAGCAGGACACTGCAGGCTACCTGTTGAAATGCAGTCAAGCTGCTCTACATGAGACAAGAGTCAAACTTGTCTACATACCTAACAAGCTCACTGAGCTAGTCCAAACCATAAGTAATCAGCTAATGCTTGGTAGTCTTTCATTCAGTTTAATTCAGTGTCAAGATTAATAAATTAGGATTAAATGCTTGAAATTAGCAAAAACAATCATTTTTAAATTTTTATTATTTTAATATTTCAATGAGCCCATTCTTAGTTTTATCTGTTTTATTCAGCCTGCACCTGGGCTCAAATTTCTATATATAGGCTAGCCTACTATAGTGCTGTGAGTAATGGCTGTAACAGTTTAGTAAAAGTATTGGTTAAGTAATTAAGTAGAGATAAACAGGATAAAGAAAAGTGACTTAAAGGACTCAGAGGGGGAAATATGTGGTGTGTGTATATAACATTTATTTAGTTCAATTAATGCATCAAGTATGTGTGAATTCCGTAACTGATGATTTATTAACTATGAACTAATCATATAAAGTCATAAGTGACATTAATTCATGCATTAAATCAACATGAGCCACGCATTAGTTAAACATTACTTCATTGCATTATTGACAGTTTAAAGGTTGTTACAATCCAAAGTAAATAAAATATCATCTGAGCTCAGAGGTCTGTGTCTTCTCAAAGGCCTGAGTGTACGGACGCGTTAGTGGGTGCGTGCCAACGTGCGTTAAAACACACGCCTGCAGTATTAGATGAGGGTTAGTTTTTGTAACCACAAGACCTTTAGCAAATATACTAGCCTAGATATGTGCTCTTCTGCATGCTACGCATCCTTTTTGTGATCTTATTTTTCAATCTCTGCATTTGTGTTTTATATATATAGGCTACAGGAAAATGGACTAGAACATGTGACACGTATATAAAGGTAACCTGATTCTCGCATAAATAAAATAGCAACAACAATATCAATGTTCAAAGCATTATATCAGAGAATCACTTCATTTCCCGCGCCAGTTAGGACCAATAATACGCCTTACCCAATTATAATATCGCTAATAATAATAGCCCTTCTGTGGACAATGGGAGCCAACAGACAAAGCCAGCAATAAATAAATAGCCTACATCCCGGCTCTTTGAGTAGCATAAATTTCCACTGAGACGTGCAATCACCTTTAACAGGCTAAACAAACAAAAACACAATGAACTACAATGTTCAAAACCGAGGATACAACCTGAAAGTGGGATTCGAGCAGGGGAAGATGAGAAGTGCTATTCTCTATTGTCATTCAAAAATGTGAAGCCATGCTTGTGATTCATTTGATTTTTGTTATTCAGCTTTTATTCTGCATGATCGCCCAATCCTTCCACTTGCAGCGCTTTGAGTAGAGTCCTGGAGAATCGTTGTCTCTGCGGCACCTGAGCACAACAGGTGTGTTACCCACCGAAAAAATCCCGTCATCAGTTACAAAACTTGAGTTTATAATTCCAAAATTCACTTTGCTCCCACAAAGTAACACATATTTACAGCGCTTGGCACCTCTTTGGACCAAAATGCCGGACAGTTTTTATTTAGGTTTTGTTTCAAATTAGTGAGGCGTGACATTCCAAATGCGACGTCAGGATTTTATGCTTTGTGATGTCACTTCCTCAATTTTTTTTTTCTTCTTTTAAATCTGTCGTCATTTTACTTCAAAGCCAAACAGTGACGCTGAACAAATGACATCACTTCCCACCTTTAGTCATAATAATAATTACATAATTGTAATCTTAGTGCTAGTATTAGTATTAGTGCTAGTATTAGTAGAATCAGTCGGTACTGGTCATATCAACCAGGTGTCGATAGATTTAGAAATGGGTTTTCAGATAAAAGATATTCTAACTGGTCAGTTCAACAAATACCAGATAAAGGAGTTCCTCGGGGAGGGGAGTTATGGGACAGTGGCCAAGTGCGTAAAATTAAGCACTGAGGAGTGTATTGCCATAAAGATTGTACAGAGAACTTGGCCCGGTTTAAAGGAGGTGTCTGTGCATGATAAACTCAAACATCTTGACAAAAACAAGAATAACTTGGTCAGGTGTATTGAGCATTTTATCCATAAAGGACATGTTTGTCTGGCATTTGAAATGTTGGACATAAGTCTTTATGACCTAATGAAGGTGAGGTCTTTTCAGCCACTGTGTTTGTCTGAGATTAGAGTAATCTCACAACAGATGCTGGTGGCTCTGAATGCCCTCAAGAGCGTAGGTCTGGCACATGCAGACATAAAGCCAGACAATGTAATGCTGGTGAATCATCAGTTGCATCCCTTCAAACTGAAACTGATTGATTTTGGTTTGGCCACTCCGGTTTCCTCAATGCATTCTGGCAGCATCATTCAAGTTGTTAATTACCGGGCCCCAGAGGTCATTTTGGGTCTCCCATTGAATGAGGCTGTCGATATGTGGTCGCTCGGCTGCCTTTTGGCTTACATGTATCTGGGCATGCACCTGTTTCCAACACAGTGTGAATCTGAGGTCATGAGAGTCATCATTCACATGCGGGGTCAGCCTGACGATCACCTACTGAACGCTGGGATTCGTACCAAGAAATATTTCAGCAAGGACCAAAACTCCTCTGACGCGACATGGAAGCTGAATGAAAGCGTACAAGGACGGAGCCTTTTTAACAGTCTCGATGACATAGCAAAGACCCGCTCAGGAAAAAAGAATATCATGCAGTATGAGGACACACAGGCCTTTTTAAGCCTCCTCAAACGTATGCTGCATGTGGATCCTGAAAAAAGAATCACTCCCAGTGAAGCTTTAGGGCACCGTTTTATTACAACAAAACACTTCAAGGATTGCACTAACAAGGACAAATATGTGAAATCAGCCCATTTGACCATTAAGAACTGTCAGCTGGAGCAGTCATCTGTCAAGTTCAGAAACAAAATCATGCTTCCTATTTGATCAGCACTGGCTAGATTAAGTTTGATCTGAGTTTCATACACTACGCTGGACAGACTCACTGAGAATGACCTGTCAATCAAAAGGTAGCCATCCCAAAAGTATACGCGGGTTTATTGTCTATTTTATTCGAAATTACTCCATAATTTACGAAATGAACATCATAATGTATTGAAGAAGATGTGAAACTAGTGATTGAGACCATAAACTCATTAGGAAACTGTTTACTGAACTCATAAATGAAGTGAGAAGTCGGCTTATTCTCCATTAGAGTGAATGGTATCGATGTGTTATTGTAACCAATGGAGCTCCCCCTGCTTGCCTTTACATAGAATGCAGATTTTAGGACACTTCCGCGTTGGCTTTACTTTTCAAAGCTAAGTTATCTCTCAGGGCACTTTTCATATATAGCAGGTTATAACAATATAATGTTTGATAGTACATACATAATACTGACCTACATCATTATTATTGAGATCAAATTTACAAATGGCAACATTATCATGGTTTCATTTAGTGTCTGTGCCCACCTGACGGATGTTCGAAATGTAGTACACTGTAGTACAAGTAATAGCCCTTCTACTAATATATTATTATATTAAAAATATACTGGTACTGCCTATTTGCATGTCTATGTACTGTGTATCTCTGTATGGGTGAAAAATAACAATTCAATTTATTTAACGTGTTTAAATAACAGGACATGTGTCATCAATATGTATTGATATGTATATGGCAAACATAGATACATTTATCAGTTTAATGATTGGAATATTTTATTGTAAGGCACACCCTATTGTCCCCCAAAACACCTACAGCCCATCAAATTACCACAGAACTGAATCAACCTTTGTGGCACAAGGAAGCATAAATAAAATGATCAGTTTACATTATATTGTTGTTGTTGTTGTTGTTGTATGTTATATCATTGTTTTCAGTGTATTGAAACAATTCATTGAGGAATATCAGCTTCTGTGTCAAAGACCACGTCGTCCTGTGGTAGCACAGATCCATAACCTGACGTCTGAGAGAAGTTGAGGGTCAGCTGGTTCTCGACATTTGTGCTGATCTGAAGTGTGGACAGCCATTGTAGAACATTTTCAAAGTGGCTGGTTGATATTCTCCTCTCTAGAGAAGACTGAGCAATAGATGGTGCTGGATTGTCTCCTTTGACTGTAAATGAAACAAAACACATATTTGACTGTAACATTGTGCTCAGTGTGAATGCTAGATATTAAACCATTTTTACTTACAGTCCTCGAATAAAAAATCCTTGCTGCTCCGAAGACGATCTGTGGCTCTCATTATGTCCTTATCCAGCTTTTCAATTTCCTGGTTGATTTTTTCACCTATGATTTCCTCCTTCTCCTTTCCATCTTTCTTCTTCTGACCAACACCCTTGGCTTTGAGTTTGGCCATGTCACCAACTAACAATTGATCATTAAAACAAATGATTAATGCAACAGGATATTTATATTACGATGAAAAAACAAACTCATTAATCATCCCCATCCCAGTATAATACTCACACAGGGACTTGGATTTAGTGCTTGTCACACTCCCCCTGATATCAGCTTGCAGCTCAAGGAGTTTTTCTCTGAAGCCCGTCATCATCTCCAGCTCCCTCCGCCTGTACTCCTCCTCCAGCTGCTGCTTCAGCACATGTTTGAGCTGCCTTCTCCTGAACTTCTCTTCAATTCTCAGGTGGATGTCATTCATGTCAGGGCAGAAGAGCCGGCCACTGTTCCCTGCCACCATTTCCTCTATTTTCTCAAACAGTTCGGTAACCTGATTCATATCAGTTCTCTTCATATTGTTCACAACGTGGTATTTGTTCTTACACTTGTCAACCAACCAGCGTAGAGCTCGATGCTCCCTCTCGATGTGCTCCTCTACGGATTTATCTGCTAGTTTGTCTCCAAATGTGAACAGAACCATTGTGTGTTTCCAGACGCTGGCATCAAAGAGGTTCATGTGTTCCTCCAGAGCGACCTGTTGAGCTTCTCTGAACGTCAGGTCCAAGGGGACAACCAGCAGAACAACATGAACGCCTAATGGGCTCACCGACAGACCTCGGACAATTTCTTTGTCCATCTCTTCAGTGCAGAGGGAGGACTTCTCATACCAGCCCGGGGAGTCGATCACTGTGATCCTTCTGCCAGCAACTTCCCCGTCCTCCACCTGACAGTGCTTATTCTCACAGGTGGAAAACACTTCCTTACGCAGGAGGTTGTTTCCTGTTTCACTCTTTCCAGATGTCTTCTGACCAAGCATCACAATCCTCAGCTCCCGCAATTCATCTTTGGCACCTGAAAAGAAAACAAATGTCATTGCTTTTTTAGTGAGTTTGGAAGGTAACTGGCCTTTTCAATTGGTGGCCCGAAGGGACACATCCAGCCCGATTAAAATATAGGAACGCCGCAGATAATAGCGTAATTCTAAATATGACTGTTATTTATTTTCAGTCTAGTATATGTCACTTTTGGCCAATGCTGATGCTTGCTTATGCCTACAGACTAGTACGTAGCAAGAGCAACAGGGCTCTAAAAGTTAACAAACAGCCACTGACCGAGGCAGACTGACAGCAGTTTCCATTCCTATATCATGGATCTTTTAGCATTTCTGTTAACAAGGCTTTTAATGTACTCTATTTATCACAGGGAAACTTGATGTAGAAAGATAGGGCTGGCAGCAGCAAAGCAGAAACGCTCTTTGTGTGGATGCTGCAGGGATGCTAGCCAGAGCTGTGAGACAACCTTCATGCACTGCTCTCACATACTCTGTGGATAAGGAGTTAGTGTGCTTGCATTTGCTAATTAGCTCTGAACACAATAGCTTTATTATAATAATAATAATAATAATAATAATTTACTTGTGACACTAATGCTCGATGACTGAACCGTACCTCTCAGGGATTTTCTTTTGGCCTTGACTTGACTTTGCCTCAGTCGTGCTCCTTCTTCTACTCTTCGTCTTTTCTCTTCAATGGTTAGAAATATCTTCTCATCTGGGGAAAAATGGCTCCAACCATTTCCAGCCACAGTCCAAGTGATTTTCTCCAGCAGCTCTGTGATTTGAGTACATTCATCTGCATTCTTGTTATCAATGACATGATATCTGTTCCCACATTGTTCAACTAGAGACTGCATGGCCTCTCCCTCCGCTTCGATGTACTGCTCTATGGTATTTGTTCCCAGCCAGTCTCCCCTGGTGAAAACTACAACAGTGCGTCTCCACACTTCTTGTCCGAGAAGCTCCATGTGTGTTGTCACTGCATCTAAGTGTTTGGCATTGAAGGATGAATCTGCATCTATCACCAACAGGAAGACGTGAGGCCCAGGGGGGCACAGGAACATGCTGCGCATCACTTCCTCTTTGATTGCTTCAGGAGTGTCAGACACTGGGAAGCCTTTCCACCAACCTGGTGTGTCAACCAGAGTTATTTCAGTTTTACCCACAAAGCCATGCCGTGCCACCGACTGCGTTGTTCTTCTTCCATCTTCTTGTTCTTTGATTCCCAGGATGGTGTTTTCTACTAAGGTTTTCCCAGCACTTCGGCTTCCCAAGAGAATCATCTGGAGTTTTGGGATGGTTTTCTTCTCTTCTGTTAGACAAAGCAAAGCTTTATTAGCCAAGGAGCTTACAGCAATTTATACAAGTTATTGAATTGACCAAACTATTAACAGCCTAACAGCCTGATAAATGGTTAGAAAACAAATAATTAATTAATATTTAACTGGACAATGATGAGATGTATTAATAAAATCCTTCAATACACTGACCATATTAAAAGGAATAGAACAATTATGCAAAAATAGAAAAATATCTAAAATCAAGTGCAGATCTTGTAAATAAGTGTAACAATATTAGCACAATAACACACAATAGATAATAATCAAATCAGTAAATACAAAAGTAAATTGGGAGCAAACTGGAAGTCATAACTTCATCAGGAAGTCTATCTCTTTAGGAAAAACGATATTATCAGATTAACAAAAACTAATTAATTAATCAATTACATTTCTTTGAATTAATTTTAAAGTTGTAAACCATGACAATACATTAAGTGTTTGTTTGAGTAGACCTACTGTCCAGCCTAATCTCACGACAAAGTGTGTGTAATAGAATAGTGTAATAGATAAGGTAGCGTGCAAAAGCTTCAAATAACGTCATGTATTTGTCATGCCTTTCTGCATCTCATACAGACAGTTGTGAAATGGTCACAATTTGGTTAGGGTTGGGCAACAAACAACTTGGTCGGACGTCAGTTAACTTGCGTCTCAAATGGGATGTAATTTACATTAAAGGTGTCATACGTAACAGTCTGAAGCATTGTACGTAATGTTTTTATTTATCAATCACTTTTTATTGCCATTAAGTAAACAGATTGTAACATAACTTAAAAAATGAAACCTTCTCCGACTTTCTCAGTTGCCTGTGGACTAATTTATAAAATCAAAAAGATGTGGCATGTATGCACGTTCCCTGTGCCGTCTCTCTCCGCTTCACTACACTGTTAACATGGATGTGTTTTTTGGATTATGTTAGCTTGTAAAGTTACTTCCCCAGCTGATTGTAGCCAATACATAACGATACAAACCAAACGATTGCTTTCTACTAGCTAAGAGCGATGCACGGCAGGGACATCCAACTAACTGGAAGTTAGCCTAAACTAAGCTGGGGTTGGCTGGCTAGCTGTGGCTTGGCTGCACAATGTGTCTGGCATTGGTTTGTTAACTGCCACTAGTGTACCTATGTTACGTAGGTAAGTCAAAGGAGAATTTTGCCCCGTTGAAATCAGAAGTCAGTGTCAACTTATTATATGTAACTTAACTTAACTTAACAATCTTTTGCTAAACCTAACAAAGTAGTTTTGTAGCCAAACTGCGAACTCTATCTGTGAACTTTATTTTGAAAGTGTAACCAGACATTACATATTCATTATTGTATTACTTTGGCATCGACAGGGTTATCTGTCGCAATTACCTTGAATGAGTATTTTCATATCATGTCTTTGTTCCTCGGCCCTTCTCCGTCTCTTTTCCGCCCTTTCAGCCACTTCTCGTTGCTTCTCTTTAATGATGTTAAATATCTGTTCTTCTACCTCGTAGTAACTGCCATTGTTGTGCCACACCATCTCCTCTATCTTCTCCAGCAGCTGTGTCACCTGAGTTGTGTTATATCTCTCGTTGTTATTGAACACGTGGTACCTGTTACTGCATCTTTCTATTAACCACTTTAGTGCATCTCCCTCACTCTCAATGTGTTGCTCTATTGTCCTCTTCCTGAGGAAATCTCCACAGGTGAACAGTACCATGGTATATTTCCAAACACGCTTTTCCAGGAGCTTCATGTGCTCCTCCACAATCCTCTTTTGCTCTGCAGTGAAAGCACAGTCTATGGGAATAACAAGGAGGAAGACATTTGGTCCGGGTGGACACTTGGACGTGTTGAGCTTAAATGTTTGCTTGTCTCTCTCTGGGATCTCAGTGAGGGAGTGGGAGCTGTTCCATCCTGGAGCATCCACCACGATGAGCTTCCTGCCCTCGACGTCTCCATGTCTTACCTCAGACTGGATTGTTCTGGTTCGGCCACACTCAAACCTTTCCTCTCCCAGTATGGTGTTGCCAGAAGAGCTCTTGCCAGCCCATCTCCCACCAATCAGGATGAGTCTGATCTCTTTCTCCCCTGGAAGACAAAAGAAAACTTGATAGTGTCACTTTATGGAGCAGAAGTGAAGAAATAGAGACAGTTTTACCAAGATGTTA